AGTGCAGGACCCGGCACTTGGCCTTGTTGAACCTCACGCAATTAGCCTTGCCCCATGGATCCAGCCTGTCCAGATTCCTCTGCAGAGCATTCCTACCCTCCAGCAGATCAACACTGCTGCCCAACTAGATGTTAGCTGCAAACTAACTGACGATGCACTCGATCCCTTTGTCCAAACCATTGATAAAGATATTAAACAGAACTGGCCCCAATACCGAGCCCTGAGGAACACCACTTGTGACTGGCCACCGACTGGATTTAACTCCATGCACTACCACTCTCTGGGCCTGGCCAACCAGCCAGTTTTTTACCCAGCAAAGAGTACGCCTGTCCAAGCCATGAGCTGCCAGCTTCTCCAGGAGAATGCTGTGGGAAATGGTGTCAAAGACTTTACTAAAGTCTAGGTAGAGAACACCCAGAGCCTTTCCCTCATCCACTAAGCAGGTCACCTTGTTATGGAAGGAGATTCAGCTAGTCAAGCGTGACTTGCCTTTCATAAACCCGTTCTGACTGGGCCTGATCACCTGGTTGTCCTGTACGTGCTGTGTGATGGCATTCATGATGATCTAATCCATAACCTTTCCCAGCACTGACATCAGACTGACAGGCCTGTAGTTCCCTGGATCCTCCTTCCGGCCCTTCTTGTTGATGGGAGTCACATTTGCTAACCTCAGCAAGAAGATGCAACCTATGGAGAGCCCATGCTGGAGCAGGCTCCTGGCAGGAGCTGCAGCCTGTGTGGGACCCACACTGAAGCAGTCTTCTGAGTAACTGTACCCTGTGGAAAAGGACCCATTCTGGAACAGTTCTTGAAGAACTGCAGCCTATGGGAAGGACTCATGTTGGAGCAGCTCATGAAGGACTGTATCCCATGGGAGGATGCAATGCTGGAGAACTGGCAATGGGCTTTAGTGTTTAAGTTTCCTCAATGTTAGATAAAATTTCATAATGTCCAACCTAATTCTTCCTTGCTACAGTTTAATCTGATTTCTTTCTTCTTGTTTTAAGTATGTGAAAGTTGTTGTTACATCTCCTCTCAAAATAGATCTAAGTCTTTAAAAAACACTAGATCATGCTTTTTAGACCATTGGTCAAGTTCATTTGTTGTCTTCTGGATTCTGTAATGTTGATCCACATGTTGTTCTGAATTAAATCTGTTACTCTCTCTTGGATAGAACTGGAATCCTTCTGGAAGTTCAGCCTGTGATTTATGACTAATTGACTTGACTTTATGTCCATCATTGTTGCTTCTTTCTAATTTTACTTGTTTGGTTCTCTAGGAGCCCGTCTATAATGGGAATTTTTGCTGCAGATAGGAAATTTCTGGGTGAGATTGGTGTACTGGACAGTGGAATGCACATATATGGAGGAGAAAATGTGGAACTTGGCCTGAGGGTAAGCTTATTTTTTCACCTTTTTCTGAAAGACAGTGAAAATTAGTATGTGATTTTTTTTGAAAGCACTCAGGGCGCTGGTTATTGTCTAAAGCATGAGTTAATATTTCAGAACAATTCTGTTTTATTTTGGGTATCAAAGGGAAGGGAGAGAATTCCAAATTGATTAAGGCCCATCAGCAGGCTTTTGTTGATACTTCTTAAGGATTTTGACTCCTGACACGAAAACCTAGTTCAGTGAGGAAATACTGAATCTTGCAAGATGTGGTTCTCTGCAGAAGTTTAAGGTATATGTCTCTTGGCTCAGCAGAAGAATAAGATAAGACCATGTTAAATGATGTTATGTATTAGGGAAAACAAGCAAGCAAACAAAAAAAAACCCAAAAAACGAAAGCAGAAAGAAGTCTGTCTGCCCTAGACAGTAAAATGTTCTTCAACTTTGGATGTCTTCAGATCAAGAATGGAGACTTTTTTTTTTTTTCCCCCCAGAATAGTTTTATCTGGAGTGTCTTTAATTATTAGGGAACATGTGAGAGCACTAAAAATTCTATTGAGGAGTATGTTTTAAAAGTAATGGTGGTTGAAGATATTCTAGAAGACCTGAGAAGAAGAAAAATGAACATAGCACTTATCTCTACAAAGAAGAGAAAGGATGGTAGGACGTGAGAATTATAAACCTGTTAGCAAGACTTCAACGTTTAAGAAAAAAGTCTTTGATTATTCTTTTTCTCTGTAAATATGAAAACTAGGGAGCTTTGAAAGAAGTCAGTAACCAGTTTCAAAATGAACATGAGGAGGAGATACTTCATTCTTCCAGTAGCAGACCAGACCAACAGACCAGGAGCAGAGCTCCTTCCAAACGGTAGTGTGGGTCTTAAAAACTTGCAGTCATTTGTGGGAAGACTGAATAGCTGTTCAAGAAAAACCTGCTCAGAGTTAGTGAACAAAGGTGAATCAGAGGAATATGCAGAAAGTCCCCTGACCTGAAAATAATTGGGGACTGTGAAAGGTAATGAATGTACTTATCTTGTTCTCAGCCTTCCCCAGGAATAAGTTTGCTGTCACTGTGGGATACAGAATACTAGGCTAGATGGACTGTTGGTCCAGTGTGGACATTTTCTCATGTTCTTACAGCTTTTTCTTTTTTGTTCTGGTATCTATTAGTAAGCACATATAAGATAATACAGACAATATACATTTGTCTGGACAAATCATGTCAAACAAGTGTAGGGTTTTTTTCTATAAGTGTGTAGCATGCTTTGTGCAAAGATAAACAGCAGAAGTTAGGAGAAACATAAGGAATCAACAGCTACAGAGGTGTAGACTGGGGAACATCTAGCCGGAAAAGAACTGGGAGTAACAGACTTTGTATGAGTCAACATGGCCATGCAACTGGATGGGAAATGATGGTATTGAAGATCCTTCTCTTCTACTGGTAAGTTCTTTTCTGGAGTAGTGTTTTGAGTCCTGGGACCATACATGAGGAAATATGTGGAGCAATTGAGTAATCTGAAGGAAAGGAAAGAGAATAATAGAGTTCCTGCAATATGTGATGTTATAGCAGAAATAGGCCTAAATGAGGTTTTTTGATTTCATAGAATCATGAACAGTTTGGGTGGGAAGGGACCTTTAATCTAGTTCCAACCCCCCCTGGCATGGGCAGGGACACCTTCCAGCAGACCAGGTTGCTCAAAGCCCCATCCAACCTGGCCTTGAACACTTCCAGAGATGGGGCAGCCACAACTTCTCTGAGCAACCTGTGCCACTGCTTCACCACCCTCACGGTGAAGAATTTCTTCCTAATATCTCATCTAAATCTTCCCTGTTCCAGTTTAAAGCCATTACTACTTGTCCTGTCACTACATAACCTTGTAAAAAGTCCCTCCCCAGCTTTCTTATAAGCCCCCTTTAAGTACTGGAAGGCTACCGTAAGGTCTCCCTGGAGCCTTGTCTTCTCCAGGCTGAGCAACCCCAACTCTCTCAGCCTGTCTTCGTAGGAGAGATGCTCCAGCCCTCTGATCATCTTTGCGACCCTCCTCTGGATTTGTAGAAGAAATGATCAAGAGGAAATATAGCAACAGTCTTCCAAACATGCTAATGCTGTGCTAAACAAAGCCCCTGTGTGTGAGGCACCATGCTGAATCACATGGATGTACTAACTTGGGTTGATACTATATTGGAGATGTTGACACATTTCTCCATAACTTGTGGTGGACATGGTCAAAGACCCCGTGCTTCAGATTCTGTCTGTGAGACTGAAATGTCACATGTCATCACCTCATGTCTTGTGAGGCAGGCTATGAATTAATATTTCAGTTCTGTTGCTTGAAAAAACATTTACACTTTATTCTTTATTGACCTGCACCATTCACAGTGGTGGCAATGTATGTCTACTGTGTAGTCATTTACACAAAAGCTGGAGGTGAAAACAATGGAGAATTGGTTCAGTTAACACACAAAGCTGCTCTGAAAATGGACTGTAAAAATAATATTAAAGATCTGTGCTGATTTCCATCCTGAAGGTTCCTTGTGACAAATAAGCTTGGTTAACATACAAGCAGCCTCTCGTGTTTTTTTTTAACCAGTTGCCAGTCCTGGAAAATTTAATGTGAAAATGTGAAGGAAGTCTATAGCATATAATGGAGCATTGTGTGATGATCCCCAGACTAGGACAATAAATCTACATTGTGCAGTGCCATGTGGACTTGCCAGCTTGAGTTCAGTTCTGCACAGCTGCTCACCTTTTGAAGAGCATCGACACTTACACTGGTTCATGTATAGTCAGGTTGGATGTGTTTGTTCTAGACCTTCTGTACTTTTGAAACACTGTACTTTTTGACTGTGGCCTGCTTAAGTATCTCTTTGAACTCCTTGTAGGTATTTCAGGAATCCAATGGATATTTTTCTTTCTCTTGAATTCTCCCTAGTGTGTAAGATTTTACAGGACCAGTTTTACTCTTGGCATGTCCTGGGCAATGTCATTGATTCTGAAGGACTTGGACCCATAACCCATAACCACCAGAGTATTTAGCAGTCTAGCTCCTAGTGAGATCAGTTGAAGATATGTACCAGTTTGGCTTAGTGCCAAACTCTATGCCAATCTGAGTGCCTTGCCACAGGAAACTGGTGAGTAGTTTTATTAATGGTGATGGCAAAGAAAAAACACGCCTTTACTCTCCTGAACCTGTAATAGGGCTACACTCAGTAGAAATTAAAGGTAAAGTAGAAATTTTTTTCATTCACTCAAGCCAGAAAACGGAGCTTTGAATGTTGAGGGCATGCCAGTTCATCTGGTGAAGGAGTGGGAGGAGCAGAAATGGGAGCACTTTAACAAAAAGTGCGGAGTTTGAATAAATTTGCCTCAAATTCTCTCTTCTTGACCTAGGCTTGGCAGTGTGGAGGTAAAGTAGAAGTGCTGCCCTGCTCAAGAATCGCTCATTTGGAAAGAGCTCACAAGCCTTACTTGCTGGACTTGAGCATTGCGTTGAAACGCAATGCCTTGCGGGTAGCTGAAGTGTGGATGGATGACTACAAGTACATGGTCTACTTTGCATGGAATCTTCCAATTGAGGTGGCAGTGTTTCTCTGTGTTTCAAACTGGAATCCAAAGTCTAAAAGTGGTCAAATAAGAGCATGTGATCACACAAAAAGAGGCATAGTGTGATTATAAGAGTCACTGTGGGGGGAAAAAAAAAAAATTATATGTTAATAATTATTGATATGGATGACACGCAACAGCCATGATCATAGACATGTTCCTCTTAGGCTCAGTCCAAGAGCTGATGCCTAGCTTAAAGAACATAAAATTTTTCAATATGTATATTACATTTTTTTGGGGAAATTAGGGAATATTTTACCTGGAATATTCATAATTTTGCATGAAAGAGCATGTCTCTAGAGTTCTGGGTGTCCCTGGATATCTTTTAAATAAGCAAAATTCAACGTTAAATAGAGAATTCAATTACTCTTCATCACATAGCCCGTGACCTTTATTAAGTGAGCTCTCCTCTCTGCAGCCAAAAGTTCTGCTTTTGTTTTCTTGGAAGAAAAAGGGGAAAGTCTTATAGCATCCTTGAAAGGTTGAAAAGTGGTAAAACTGGGAAATTAAGAGATTTCCTTTAATAATAATGATCTAAGTCCTTTAAATTACAGTTTTTTTCTCCTTTTGACTAACTTCAGTACTTCTGAATTTGGTTTTAACTTTTTTCTTGCACGAACTGTTGAAGATACTGGAAGTGTCAAGACCAGGTCTTTTGAGTATTGATAACTTTAGTTAATAAAAAAAAATTGTATTAATTTTCCCAGCCTGCACTTCAGTGGATTTATGAATCTTTAACAAAGATGACTAGCCTCCTACCTCCTTATGCTTTCTTGAATAGATATTAAAGAAACAAATTAAAATATACAGTGATATAGCATAAATTAAAACTTCAGAACAATCCACTTTCTTTCCCCATTAATTAACTTTTAATGTAAATATTTGGAATTTTTCATCTGAAAATGCTAGTCATCAAAAATTGGTTCAAGTCTATTTGAAATTCCTAACCTAAGTTATTCAGGCCGCAGACTGCATTTCAGAGAACTGCTTAAAGACAGTGTGTAAGCTCCAGTTGGACTGATCTCTGTCAAACTTCCCTGCTGGAGCTGTTCCACTTTGTGTAAGAAGTTCCATAGTCTTGGAAACAATAGTTTGAATCTTCATTGCTCCCATATGAAATGAGTGTCATAGTCAACAGACTATTGATGAATCTAAGATTGTTAACAAGCTCTGTCTTATTTTTCACTTTGAGTTAGCTTTTTTTTTTTGTCAGTATGAAATAGGAGAACTACTTCCTAGCCTTATCTATCTTTGATATTCTTTATATTTATGATGTCATAATATGTTAGTTTTTCAGTAATTTATTGGCACTTCTAGGCAAAACATGTTCTGAAATTCTAAAGTTTAAAAGATATACAGGTATTTTTTAAATGAACTTTTAAATATTTTTTTTATGTTACAAATAGACAATATGGAGAAATAAGTCTGTATTTTTCCTAGTTTCTCAGGCCACCTTAATGTTCTGAAATTAAATATGGTGTTCTTGCAGAATCCTGGAATAGACTTTGGAGATGTTTCTTCCAGAAAAGAGCTAAGGAAAAAACTGAACTGTAAAGGCTTTGATTGGTACATAAAAAACATTTACCCTAATTTAGTATTTCTTCCCAACATTGTTGGCTATGGAACAGTAAGTATTGAGTCTATTTATTTGAAATACGAAACAACTCATTAGGTCTACTGTTATGAAGAATTGTTGTGAACACAATTATGACATGTTTTCCTAGAAACCTTAAAAAGACTTTTATATGTCTTTCTAGACACTAAAGTTTTCTAAAGTCTCTTTCAATATTAGTTGTCAGTCTAGAATTCCTAAACTGTGTTTATTATACATGTACTGATGGGAGCACAACAGTAGTTTGGGAAAGTGCTTAACATGCATTTTTTTTCCTGCATGCAAAACTCATCTATTGACCAACAAGAATGGATCAATATCTTCTTGTAAGGGCTTGAATTTTTCAATGGAGTAGTACAGGGGTTTTTTTCTGCAGAGATTAGCAGGATGATTTGGAAAGCAAGCAGCCATGAAGATAGCATGTAATACATTGGAAGTCAGGCCACTATTTGCAAAAGAGAGAACTAATCATCCAGGCTGCAGTGGCTTCTTGATACAGGTAGGCATTTTCTAGACCCAAGCTTGCATACCTTGCTGGAGCTGGGCAGTGGTACTCACCTGTTTGGAGCTGCCTGGTGACTTCTGACATGGTGCTACATGGCATGATGTTGATGAGTCTTTGAAGGACCTTAGATTTGCTTTTGATCTTTGCTGTGATGAATCATTTTTACAAAGGTAATCTGAGATTTGTTTTCTAAACTCAGATTGTATCTTCCATTTCAGGATTCGATGCAGAGCTCTGAATAAAGTAACCTTGCCCTCAGGGCAGTTTCTAAAATTATCGGTGAGGAGTTGAAAACAGGATTGCTGTTCCTCACAGTAAATTTCCTGTTTTATTCTGCAGATGAAAAACACATTGAAAGAAGACATCTGTATCGATTGTGGCCCTGTCCCTGGAAACACTCCAATTATGTATCCCTGTCATGAATACTCAACACAGGTAATGTAAGCAACTGATCAGATCTTCACATATGAGCTGTTGCTAACTGTTCTTTTCAAGCCTCCACAGTGCCATGAAATAGGCACTTCAAAACTATTACGTCTGTGCTATCTAAAGGAAAGTATTAACCTTTATTCCATTAAATTCTTCTCCCCAGTGCAACTGGCAGCAGAGCAGGTTCCCGTGGAGATCTAAGTGCATTAAATTAAGGCTTTTGGTTTAACCTTGCCAAAAAATTGTGAAACCTCTTGTTGATACTGATTGGTTGATTAACAAAAGATCAGTGAGATGAATGGGAGAGAGGTGGAGCTCTTCCTCACACCTCACTGCCTGTCCTCTGAGTAGGAGGGAAGCTAAGGGTTACCGTTTGATTGTAAGCATCTTGCTTTTTTTCTTTAGAAAGCAGAAGGATGTTGTATAGGATCAAATTCATCCTGGTTTAATTCCTGAGGGATGAGTGAATGCTGGTGCTGTACAGCGGATACCTCTCAATATCTGTTTTGGAACTGTCTGCTATCATCTGCTGATGAGATTTCCCTGGTATCTTAATTCACTGACAGTGGTGTCACCTTCCCTTTCAGCACATCTTTTATCACAGCACTGGAGAAATATATGTAGGAGGTTTACGTGGCCAACGGAATAGAGTTGATAGATGCATAACAGACCCTGGGAATGGGGACCTGCCAGTTTTAGAGCAATGTGACACAGCTGTGAATAAAGGCCTGAACTTGCACTGGGATTTTAAGCAGGTAAGTGGATTTCTATATCCTCACATTTCAATAAGCTTTCCCATTATAATGAATCCGTAGACACTTTCCTTGCAAAGCAGTTTGCTTCTGAATAATGTCGCCTCAATTTCAAGACTTGCAGGTGCCACTGCAAGAGCTACAGTGGAGATGACTGAGTCTTCAGGGATGTGTGATGTTAAAAACGAGGGGATAGTCACATAACAGAAGCTGAGTTACCAGAATTTAACCAATTCTCAGTTGTTATCTGAACCACAGCCACTTATTTGTCCAACTGTCTGTCTGCCTTGGTGGAATCAGCTGGTTAAAGCCTTTTACCTAAAGGTTTAAGTCTTTTAGTTTTTAACTGGGCTGACTAAAAACGCTAACTTGCTCAGTTATCACAGTTCAGCTAACAGGCAGGGAATGTGCAAGCCCAGGTGCCTCTGTTGCTTTTGATGGTCTGACTATACATTGTGAACTCTCTCTGCTGTCCACCATCTGTCTTCCCAGCTTTCTCATGGGACCTGTTGGTCTTAGGGAAAAAGTGGGCTGATGCTTTGTCCTGCTCAGTCTCTGGCAGCATCCTCTGTAACAGCATCTGAGCATGGAAATCCTTGTTGGAGATTAGACTAGGTTCATCCTTTCAGAGCTCACGTTACAGCTGGTGATTGGAGCCTTCACACGATGTTCCTTATCTCAATTTGTGCAGGATTTATGCCAGCTGATGCTGACATGCTGAAGAACCCAAGTGACGCTTTCATATTCCATATTCAGTGCCTCTGAATACAGAACATGATAATACTAGCTTAGTCAGCTAGTTTAAGCCAGATACTGCCTAGTCAGTTAGTCTAAGAGATACTGCTATGCTACTGGAGCAAGATAAACAGGCAGCAGTGATAATGATGGAGGAAGAGGTGGGAAAGAGAGCCATGCAGCTTCTCTCCTCTCAGGCAGTTCAAACCTTATTAGCTTTATGTACTTAATTAATTTTACATGTAATGTGTGGGCATGTTTACTGTATCCCTCTCTCAGTGAAAAACTAAGCAGGAGACAAATCTTGTGAGAGAGCGGTAGAGAATAGAGGAGTCGAACTGGTGAAAGACAAACGTTTCACTGATGTGCGCCATAAATAGTATAGACCTACATGGTCTCCAGAAATTCTGCTAACGTGGGCTTTCCTTTATCTTCAGTCTGGTCTGTAACCATAAAACTTAGAAAAAGGTGCAGGTATGTTTCTGGAAGGTTTAGACCCACCTTAAAAGTAAACCTTCAGTTCCTTGTGTGCATCAAGGGTTATCACAGTGGAACAAGTGGCTGCCTGAAGGAACCGGGTAAGATCCTGTTTGCTCTGGAACCCAGCCCCTTAGGAAAATCCTCATTTCTGGCGTGATGAGATGACTTAATCACACCCCACCTCATTCACAATAACTGATACTGAAATATTGCCCGAGAGATTAGAGATGAATATTCTTACCTGTTATTGGCTCTCTTCTTTCAGAACAGGATACAGTATTAAAATTTACTACAATTATTTTTTTGAACTGTAAAAAAACCCAAACCCACAAAAGCCAAACACCCCCCCAATGCCCAAACTCCAAGAAGCAGACACAAAATAAACATCTAAATATATTTTAATATGCCTTGGAGAGCTCCATAAGCTGTCATGAGTCATTAGCCTGAGGAAAATGCAACATTTTTCTTTCAGGTCTGCAATCTACTAGTGTTTCTCAGAGACATTTGTGGAGTTCAGGAGAATTGCTTCCTTACTGAGTACTAAATTTATAAGCCCTCAGCTTCTCTCATATTTCCTTTCCTTTTGTAGGGATCAGCTGTAATCAACAGGAGCACTAAAAGATGCCTTGAAATCACAACAGCTTCATACAGACTTGTAGTACGGACCTGCACAGGACAAAGATGGAATATCCAACACACAGTTAAGGACTGGGGAAAGACAAAAGACCTGGAACAGAAGGCACAGCACTCAAAGCATTGACTAGAGGACGTTTTTCCTTGAAAACTCCTATGTTCATAACACAGCACTGAAAGCAACGATTTCAAGAGTTTGTTTAGATGGGATTTTACAAGGTAATTGTTATTGCAGGAACTGGGAGCTACTCACACAAAGGTGCAAGTTCATCTCCTCACGTTTTTGTGGCATCATCCCCCTGAGTTTCCTCAATCAGGAGAGGGATTTCTTTACTCTCTTTTATTATCACTGGAGAGAAACAGTTATATGTAGGAGTGTCTCAACTCACTTGAGTTCCTTATGTTGTCCTTTGGAAGTGCCTGTCTCTGCTCATTACTGAAAGACCAGTGTAAGGTCTCTAACTTCCGAACTTTGGCATTTCGGTTAGATGTGAAAATTGAGAAGAAATGAAAGTGGGTCTGACTTCCTCTTGTACACAGAGTTTCTCTCAGGCTGAATTGGATAATTTTTCTTGTCTTATGTCATAGAGATAATGCAAAACTTCTTGTCAAGTTGTGCTTATGCTAGTGGGTGAAATGAAATACAACCTTGTTCTTCCATCCCTATGATTTGCCTGGACATGATTCAGTTTTGCAGTAAAGTTTATTAGATACAGCAGCGTGCCACACTAAGACTGTTTTATGTTTACCTATGTGAAGTTGGTTTGTGCCAGCCAGCTGACAGCATGCATAAAATCCAGTCAAGCCCTTAGAAACAAGAGGATTCAACTCAATAGTTTCCACAAACCAATACAAGGCCTATGCCGTAGCATATGTCTGTTGAAGAAGCTAAGTAAATACAGCATGGGTTGCTAACGGGAGGCAACTTCCAGGCAGACACAATATGAGTTCTTGTAAAAATACAGTTAGGTGGAATTGGCTGTCCTACTTCTTAGAGTAACCGCTTCTATGACACATGCTTATTTGTTAAAGGGAACTCCTGCAAAATAAACTCATTGAAACTAATAGAGTTTCAGCCCAAAGTAATTTTGTTACCAAAATGTTATGAAACGTTTTATCTGAATCCAAACTGTATTCAGGTTTTTTTTGAATATTTGTTTGAATATAATCCAATATGATTTGTTTCCTCCTTTCTAATTTCTCTGTAAACTTGATGTGATTGGAATTGGACAAGCTCTTCTTAAAGGACAGTCTTTGGTCCTCAGGGTCTGTATTTTTCTGTTCTGGAAACTGATTCTTTAAAATACCACATTTTAACCAGATTGGATTTAAATTTCTACTTAAAATCAACTTTTATTTCCATGTCCTGGCTTAAAGCCAAAAACACTGAAGAAAGAGGAATATGCGCTCTGGTTGTTTTCTGCATCTTCAACAGTGTGTCTTACCAAAGGCAAAGGACTAGCATTTTGGCAAGCACAATGAAAACAGTGGGAATTTTGACAGTACAAGTAAAATGATAATCTGGCCTGCTGCTGCTGCTGAATAAAAAGTGTTTACATAATCATTTTTCCATCTTAATATGCCACTTCAATAGAATGTAATAGACATTTGAAAAATTTTGGTTTGAAATTAATGCTTGGAAAACATCAAAATGTTCCAGAATGTCTAGGTTTTCTGGTTCTTAATATATGACCTCTAGTTATACACAGAGGTCAATGCTGGAGCAAAATACTTCAAATATTTTGATTTATCGCATGTATGAGTGTGGGATTCACAGGGAGTGTTGCGAGCGACCTTGAACAACATAGCCTTGAAGGAAATAGTCTGAGAAAGTAAGTAATGAAGCAAGCGCAGAAAGTGAGCTGAAGATAAAAATATTTTGAAGCACAGCTGTGAGACCCAAACTAGAAGACGCGTGTCTTGATTAACAGCACCAATTAAAAACTTAGCTGCGGCGCGTGGACAGCAGGGGTTAACCAATCCATGAACAAACTAGAGCGCATGGACAGCTAGTGAATCTATATAAGCACAAACTTGTAAACAATAAAGGTCTTTGGTTTTACCCGCGCCAGAGTCCGTGAATCAATCCCTACATAGGAGTTTTTTTAATTTCCTGAAGCCCCTTCGCAAACATGACTTTCTGGCTAATTTTGTAATGAGGAAAGATAGCAGCCATAAGAGAACTCAATTTTCAGACTAGCACTTTCTGGTGATGCTTGATGAGACATAAATAACAACTCAATATTTTTGGTACTACAGTAGTAATACATTGCTCTCACTAGTAATACTTTTGCAGTTGGAAATTCATTGCGTGGTGTAGCAACTGATGTGCAATTCCTCAGCAAGTCAGCAGCAGAAGTAGGACTCTGCTGCCATGGTGTATCACAAGAAGGCAACTATGACTGCGGCACAGCATACAGTTGGGATCTCTTCTTGACCTGAAACCCAGCCATAAGCTGAACTTTTCAGAAATGTAGAAAATCACCTCAGCTCCTGCAAAATGACACAATGTCGTGGTTTAACCCGAGCCGGCAACTAAGGACCATGAAGCTGCTCGCTCACTAACCCCCACCCGGTGGGATGGGGGAGAGAATTAAAAAAACCCCTAAAACTCATGGGTTGAGATAAAGACAGTTTAATAGGACAGAAAGGAAGAAAATAATAATAATAATATGACAATAACAATTAAAAAAAGAATTAGAATATACAAAACAAGTGATGCACGATGCAATTGCTCACCACTTGCTGGCTGATGCCCAGTTAGTTCTCCAGCAGCAATCCACCCCTCCCAACCAGCCAACTCCTCCTAGTTTCTATAGTGGGCATGACATCCTATCGTAAAGAAGTATCTCTGGCCAGTTGGGGTGAGCTGTCCTGGCTGTGTCCCCTCCCGACTTCTTTTGCCCCTCCAGCCTTCTTGCTATCAGGGTATGAGAAGCTGAAAAATCCTTGACTTAGTATAAACACTACTTAGCAACAATCAGTGTGTTATCAACATCATTCTCATCCTAAATCTAAAATATAACACTATACCAACTACTAGGAGGAAAATTAACTCTATTCCAGCCAAAACCAGGACAGACGAGAATACTGCAGTACCATATGCTGAAGACAGGTAGTAAATAATAACATAATAAGCAGGAGTTTTAATGGGTGTGCAGCTGCAAAGGAATGGGACAGTTTAATTCAGAGCAAATATAAACAGAAGTACCAGGGTACGTACTACTGTGCAGGTAGGCTCTAATGGCCTCTGCAGAACAGTAAAGCTTTCCTCCTTGGTTTTGTGCTCAAGCAAGCTTGGCTTTACTGCATGTGCAACAGGAATCCACCTTGGGAGGAAGAATCAGAAGAGGAAAAAAAGGGTTTTTCTTTAGTGTCTGGTGGAATGGGGAAAAGACCCAGTCTGGAGACATGAACTGTTTAAGAGTCTATTAATTGTCAATCTCTTTAAGGGGAAAATAAATCAGAGAACAGACAGAATAAAACAATAACACACTCCACACCTCCCCACTGCTTTCATTCATGTATTTTTGCCCAACTTTTCTAAAGTCAGGAGGTAAGTTTAGATTTACTTCCTCATTTTCCTCCTTCTTTGAGAAACTAGCCCTTTTGCAGCATTAAGCGTATGTGTTTTTAGTGGGGTATAGCACTCTGCTTGCATTGAGAGCAATCCAGTCAGGATCAGTGGGCAACCTTTAACCAAATGATTAATTAAATTTCATCTGTCTTGTGGCAAAAGCAAGGGTAGCTTATTAGGTATAGGAAAGTCTGGCAGAAAAATTATAATTTTCAGAAAGTTAGATGATTTACTAGTGGTTTCACCTGTTTGCCACAATACCTGTCCCTGTCCCAGCACAGTTTTTCCATTCCCACACAAGACACAAGCAGCTCACTTTGTTCTCTGGTTTGATTTAATATTCCTAGGCTTTACCCACCCTATTTAAGCTGCTATGTACCTGTTTTCCTGCACACATCTTCCAGCACAGTGTGTTTTTCATTTTTTTTCCCTGCTACATAATCTATAAATGCACGTTCTTTAAAATCTTTGGAAGAGTATGGCATTGGGGCTTTGTATAAATCTTCACGCTTGAAACCATGCACTAATGATGCTTCAGTACTCAGCTCAACTCCCTGTAGCAAATGCGATTTCAGCAATTATTTTCTACTTCCCCAACACTGGTAAATTCTGTCTACTTGGATAAGGTAGTTACTAGTCATGTTTGTAATCTCAGATTAGAATTCAAGCTGTTTTTTTCCTGATTTTTAGGAGACTCACTGTTACTTCAGAGCATGTTTTTCCATCTGTTCACTGTGAATTTACTTGCAGTTCCTTGTCCTCCCAACCTCCCCTCCCCGACAAGGCAAAATGGTACTGTACAGTGTGTGTGTTTGCCTGCAAAATTCCCCAGAAATGTGCCATCTGTTGCTAAATGCTCAAAGCAACAATGATAATAGCAGCAACTTTGAAGCAAAACCACGTTTATTTGAGCCCTACTGTGGTGGACGCACAGAGCTCTGAACTCCGTATGATGATAGCTGTTTGCTTTTCATGCCATGTGTGTTGCTATTACAATGGTTCGAAGGAGATTTGCAAATGTAGGTCAGTTTTGTGTGGATTATTTAACAGAAATTCTCACTGTAAATGTTATTTATGCAAGTGTCAGTATTCAAATCTAGGAACTCCATGGTGTAATGCTGTGCATCTTGAAACTACTGCTTTTTTGGGAAGAAGAGTTTGATAAAGGGGAAATATTTCTCTTACACAGACAACTTTGAAAAGGTATTGTCAATTTGCCATGTTTCAAGGAAAAGAGATGCAGCATTAGAGCTCTACACTGACAGCCACCTCCAAAAAAGACTGACACAAATACGTACAAACCTATGATACAAGGAAACTCCGCAATAGCTGCAACATCACAGAGTGTCCAAGTTTGCTTCTGCAACTCCTTTAGACTTTGAATTTCTGTGTGTCTACTGCCTTTTTTGTTGGATGCGTGCAGGTGCCGTTAGCCTGGATGCACCGCGCCTGGCTCATTCTTCACCCTCACTGGAAATAAGGTCCCTAATGTCTTCAGCTCAGTCTACATTGAGTGCTGTGTTTCTGGGACTGCCATGCTTCTGGCATGC